CGACTCAGAGACGGCTTGAGGGAGGTGCCGCCCCATGCGCCCCACCCCCCCGCTCACCTCTTCCTCCTCCTAGACGGCTTGAGAGAGGTGCCGCCCCACGCGCCCCACCCCCCCGCTCACCTCTTCCTCCTCTTGGATGGCTTGAGGGAGGTGCCGCCCCACGCGCCCCACCCCGGCAACGTTAGGTCGACGTCCTTGGGCCGGTCTCGTGACGTCAGCTCGCTCTTCTCTACCCTGAACTCCTCCACTACGTCGTCGTCCTCAAACGCCTGCAGCGGGGAGCGTTGATCGTTATGCTCGTTTTACAGGGGTAGGATGGTATAGTAAGACGAGGGAGCGTCGCGGCGTTACAGGGTAGGAGAGAGAGAGGGGGAGAAGGAAGAGAGGGGAGCGTTGATCGTTACAGGGTAGGAGGAAGAGAGGGGAGCGTTGATCGTTACAGGGTAGGAGGAAGAGAGAGGGGAGCCGTCGTGGTTACAGGGTAGGAGGAAGAAAGAGAGGAGAGCGTTGCTTGTTACAGGATAGGGGAAGAGAGAGGGAGCGTCGTGTGCGTTTACAGGGTAGGAGGAAGAGAGAGGGGAGCGTTGATCGTTACAGGGTAGGAGGAAGAGAGAGGGGAGCGTCCGTGCTTACAGCGGGTAGGAGGAGAGAGAGAGGGAGCGTCGCGCGTTACAGGGTAGGAGGAAAGAGAGAGGGGTGGAGCGTCGCGCGTTACAGTGGTAGGTAGGAGAGAGAGGGGAGCGTCGCGCGTAACAGGGTAGGAGGAGAGAGGAGGGGAGCGTTGATCGTACAGCGGTAGGAGGAAGAGAGAGGAGCGTCTGCGCGTTAAGCGTGGAGGAGAGAGAGGGAGCGTCGCGGTAACAGGGTAGGAGGAAGAGAGATGGGGAGCGTTGATCGTTACAGGTTAGGAGGAAGAGAGAGGGGAGCGTGATCGTTACAGGTAGGAGGAAGAGAGAGGGGAGGCGTCGCGCGTTACAGGATAGGGGGAAGGAGAGAGGACGCGTCGCGCGTTACAGGTAGGAGGAAGAGAGAGGGGAGCCGTCGTGCGTTACAGGAGGTAGAGGAAGAGAGAGGGGCAGCGTTGATCATTACAGGGTAGGAGGAGAGAGAGGGGAGCGTCGTGCGTTACAGGGTAGGAGGAGAGAGAAAGGGCGTCGCGCGTTACAGGCGTAGGAGGAAGAGAGAGGGAGCGTCGTGCGTTACAGGGTATGAGGAAGAGACGAGAGAGGGAGGCGAGCGTTGATCGCTTACAGGGTAGGAGGAAGAGAGAGGGGAGCGTCGCGCGTTACAGGTAGGGGAAGAGAGAGGGGAGCGTTGATCGTTACAGGGTAGGAGGAAGAGAGAGGGCGAGGCGTCTGCGCGTTACAGGGTAGGGGGAGGGTAGGAGGAAGAGAGAGGGGAGCGTTGATCGTTACAGGGTAGGAGGGGAATGTGACATCGATGGCAACGATTCGGCGACGTATAGTTTCAACAGCTAGGCAATAGCGATGTTTAATTTTAATAACTAGGCATTAATCATACATAATTTAGATAACGCAGCCAGGGTGACATAATTTCGATAACGCAGCCAGGGTGACATAATTTCGATAGCTAATCAATACTGACATTTAATTCTGATAGTTAGGCTATGTGGTGACAATCTCGATAGCTAAGCGATGGTGACATGTAATTCTAAGAAATTATCCATGGCAACATTTAATCGCAATGCCTGTGCGATTATTTTGCTACGCGTCCCGCGCACTCTTGCCGCGCGCAAACAAGCGAACGCTAGTCGCGGCTCACCTGAGCGAGCGTCATCCGCTGCTCATCCTCGTCTTCCCCTCCTTCTCCGTCCGTCAGGTCAGGACGGTGAGACCTCGGAATCTGTCGAAGACGCGAGACGGGCGTTTAAAAAACTAAAACATTGTACATTTTAAACACTTGTAATTAGCCTTAATAACAATAAGCACAATCTAAACTATCTAATGTGGTCTAATTATGCGCATCTAATTACTCAACGTCGCACGTAAACGTCGCACATTTTAATTCAACCAATCTAAATCGGAACCACGCGCACGCGTACCGACCTTCGTTACCGCGGCGACCGACGATCGGATAAACCGCATCACCCTCGCTAAACCCTCGCCGCTAACATCGCCGCCATTTTGTGGCGCTTCCCCGAAAATTCCGACGTGCCGCCATTGCAGTGCGCAACACGGATGGCGCGCTCACGCGTTTGTGATCGAGACTTGTTGAGACTTGTTGTCGCTCGCGGACGAAGCCGTGGGCATAATGGCTTCCCTGCTGGACACCCGTGGTGACGATGACCGCAGAGTGTGACGTCACGTTGACTGCCGAGATGACACTACGGGACGCGGCGTGAGCGCGCGCACTGCACTACGCCTCGTCGATTCGACGACATCGTTATTAAATTCCACGCGTTTCGAAAAAAACAGATCGTAATTTTGGCGACAAATTTGCAGAAAAAAGGAACGGCTGCCGTCGCTGTGCACGACATAACAAGCTGTGACGTAGATACTGGCTATATAA